ATCAGCTGATTTCTCTCACCATCAGGAGGGTTCTAAGTGGGTTCAGCAGTAACTGCCTGTCGCTGTTGGGATCCTAAGCGTGCACTTTCTGAAAACCAACCATCCTGCTGTGTAATCAGCAATATTTGCAGAAAAAATATTAATGCCAAAGTCATGTTAAGGTCAGCAACAACATGCCAGGATTCCAAAAGAAAAAACCCACTTTTTCTGAACTTGATATTTGCCAATGACTATCTTAAATTCTTTTTCATCTCTGATCATTTGGGGAGAGGAAGATGGTGTCTTAAAGTTGTTTTTCTCTCTCCTCTCTGCCATTCACTTCAGTATCTCATGAAAGTGTTAGTCGCTCAGTCGTGTCTGACTCTTTGTGACCCCACGGACTGTAGCCCACCAGGCTCTTCTGTCCATGGGCTTTTCCAGGCCAGAATACTGGAGTGGGTTTCCATGCCCTTCCCCAAGGGATCTTCCTGACCAAGGAATTGAACCCTGGTCTCATGCATTGTAGGCAGGTTCTTTACTGTCTGAACCACTAGGGAAGTCCAGCATCTCATAAACACCTCCAATTCATAGTAATTTCCTAAGCAGTCTCTACTTCTAGTTTCTATCATTCTCTACCACTAATTTACTCTTCATACTGTGCCAAATCATCTTGCCAAAACTCATATCTGGTTATATTGTTTCACCTCTTAAAATCCTGTTTAGATGACCTCACTCCTATGCCGACCTGGTCCCTGACTATCTCCCCAAGCTCACCTCATGCCTCTGTCATGTCCTCTCTATGTACTGAAAGGAACTTCTGGTCACTCCTTAAAACCGTCCTCCATTCACACCCTCATGCCATTGCACAAGGGTCTTCCCATTGTCTGAGGCGTGCAAGCGTGCTCAGTCACTCAGTCGTGTCCGACTCTTTTCAACCCCATGGACCATAGCCTGCCAGTCTCGTCTGTCCATGGGATTTTCCCAGCAAGAATACCGGAGTGGGTTGCCATTTCCTTCTCCCGGAGATCTTGTCAACCCAGGGATGGACTCCAGGTCTCCTGCATTGGCAGGCGGATTCTTTACCACTGAGAGACCTGGGAAGCCTCATTGTCTGAGGTGGTAATGTCTATAGTTTACTGTAAAAGTATTTTAGCGTTGATGACTTGACTTTATTTTCAACTAAGAGTTACTTAGTTTAAATTTCAACTGTGAAATAGCAATCAATTTCCCTAGGCATGAATCCCACTCCAGGGTTGGTCAATTTTCATTTTATCAAAAATGTCTCATTCTGGAAGGACTGTAACTGGTGCAGTTATCTGGTATCCTGATCAAAACCATACACTTCAATAATTAGCATATGAATGTCAGAATGAGTTTTTACTGGCAAAATTAATCTTTAGTTTTTAGTAACTGTTAAAGTGATCACCTATCATAAAAACGCACTGATAGTCAAGATATTTGGATTTCCTTAAATGAACAGATTCTAAAAATATAGCACATCCTATGCAAAACTTACTTTAAAATGGATCATACATCTAAGTGTAAAATTTCAAACTGTAAAAATCCTAGGAGAAAATATAGGAAGAAATCTTTGTAACTTTGATTGGGCAAAGTTTTCTTAAAGCTAACCCCTAGAGTATCATCCATAAAGGAAAAAAATGATTAAATTGAACTTTATCAAAATTTAAAACTGTTCTTTGAAAGACATTGTTAAGATGAAAAGACAAGCCAAAGCTTGGGAAGAAATATTTACAAAATGCATGTCTGGTAACTTGCTACCCTGGTGACTCAGATGGTAAAAAGTCTGCCTGCGATGCAGGAGACCCAGGTGTGATCCCTGGGTCTGGAGGAGGGCATGGCAACCCACTCCAGTATTCTCGCCTGGAGAACTCCATGGACAGAGGAGCCTGGTGGGCTACAGTCCATAGGGTCACAAAGTCATACACAACTGAGTGACTAACACTTTCTTTTCAGCCTATATAAAAAACCCTCAATACTTAATAATAAGAAAATAAACAACTCAACAAAAAAAATTACGCAAATGATATGAATACAAAGATGTATGGATGGCAAATAAACATATGAAAATGTATCCACCATCATTAGTTACTGCTGCTGCTAAGTCACTTCAGTCGTGTCCGACTCTGTGCGACTCCGTAGATGGCAGCCCACCAGGCTCTCCCATCCCTGGGATTCTCCAGGCAAGAACACTGGAGTGCATTGCCATTTCCTTCTGCAATGCGTGAAAGTGAAGTCGCTCAGTCATGTCTGACTCTTAGCGACCCCATGGACCGCTGCCTACCAGGCTCCTCCAACCATGGGATCTTCCAGGCAAGAGTACTAGAGTGGGGTGCCATTGCCTTCTCCCATTAGTCAATAGTAAAATGCAAATTAAAGCCCCAGTGAGACACCACTGTACATCTATTAAAATGACTTAAAAAAAAATTCTTTTTTAAACTGATGACACTTGAGGGCAGTATCCTAGAAGAAATAAGCTAAACAAAGAAAGACAACTACTGCATGGCTTCACTCTATGTCAAACCTTTTTTTAGGAAATCACAGAAACAGAATGGAAAAGTGGTGGCTAGAGGATGAAAGAAATAGGAAGTGGTTGGTAAAAGGCTACAAATTTCAGCTGTAAGATAAATAAGGTCTGAGGGTCTAGTGCAAACCAGAATGACTGCACTTGATAACACTGTACTGTATAATTGAAATTTGCTGACAGAGGAGTACTTAAGTGTTCTCATTTTTTTAAAAAAAAAGAAAGGATAAATATGTGACGTGATGGCTGTATTAATTACCTAGATGAAAGGAATCCTTTCACAGTGTACATATACGTCAAGTTGTCATGATGTACACTAAATATCTTATAATCATTTAATTCCAGTTACACCTCCACAAAGCTTAAGTTTTGATAAAAATTTTAAAAAGCTAACAACAAAAAGTACTGGTGAGAATGCAGGGCAACAGGAACTCTTATACATTGCTAGTAGGAAAGCAAAATGGCACGGCTCCTTTGGAAAACATTTTTGGTGGTTTCTTACAAAATTAAATGTACACTTACCATATGATGCGGGGGCAGGAGGAGAATGGGACGACAGGATGAGATGGCTGGATGGCATCACCGACTCAATGGACATGTGTTTGAGTAAACTCTGGGAGTTTGTGATGGATAGAGAGGCCTGGCATGCTGCGATTCATGGGGTCGCAAAGAGTCGGACGCGATTGAGCGACTGAACTCAACTGAACTGAACCATATGATGCAGCAATCCTACTTCTAGATATTTACCCAAGAAAAAGAGAAAATTATATTTACACAAAAACGTATATGTGAAGCTGCTTAATTCATAATCACTGCAAACAAGAAACAACCCTGATGTCAGCTGGTGATGGTTACATCGTGGCACATTCATAGGTAGGAGGTCACGCAGCAATAACAAGGAATGGACAGCAACATAGATAAATCTCAGATGTTTGAGGCAGACTGAAGGACACTAAGCCCCAAAGGCTACATGCTATATAATTGCATTTATGTGGCTTTCCAGAAGAGACGAAACTGTGGGGACAGAAAATAGATTTGCAGTTGCAAGAGCCTTGGGGTATAAGCAGGGATTGACTTCAAGGTGGCACAATGGAGTTCTGGAAGTGATGGAATTGTTCTATGATTTGATTATGGTGATGCTTATACAACTGGTTGCATTTGTCAAAACTCATAAAACTGTACACCAGAAAGGTGAATTTACTGTTTGTAAACTGTCTGTCACCAAGATGATGATGAAGCCTGTGGTTGCGTTATTAGGGATGATGTTCAAGGCTGTGGCCATTTGTTTAGGCATATTCTCGTTACCTGATGCCAACTCCAAGCATAACAGAATCCCGACTCTGGATTTTCATCCTGTGTACTTCTAGTGAACCTTTCCTGTCAAGATCAGACAGAATACATAAAACAGTCACTAAACTTACAGAACAAACCTATTTGATCTATACCTGCCAGTGGATGGGGGAGGGATGGGGTGGTTGTATGTTTGTTTTTAGTAAATACCTGTATGTGTGGTAGAACAATCTGACCTGAAATGTGCTTTCATTGCAGCTTAATAGAAAGGTTATGGAGTAGCCAATCCTTCCCCAGCTCAGACTTCCTTGACAGTTAGTGATATCTACCCTACCCTAAGAGTTGTGCATGTTCAGACTGACTGATTTCAACATAGGAATGCGCTGTTTCCTCAAGCTCACTCAGGTGTGTCTTCTAAGACAAGTATCACCTCCTGTCCTGAACCTAACCTAATACCCTCTGCACACTCCCATGACACCCTGGGGACACATGCTTCTGAATAAAAAACCACCCTCTTTTGGTTGTTTTTTCTTGGTCGTCCCCATTAAGCCATGGCATCTTTAATGGCACAAACTGTGTCCTGTATTTTCACACCTTCCAACAGATTCACACATGTTCAGTAAGCGTTTTGCTTAAGTAATAGAGTAACAATAATAAATATAATAATAGTGCTACACCCTCTGCCTTTCTATGTAGTGGTTCCTCAAAGCACCCTATGAGGTATGTGTTGTTATCATCCCCATTTCACAGATAAGATAACTGAGGTGTGGAGAGATTAAAAAGTAACTTGCCTAAAGTCACACAGCTAGCAAATGGCAATGGAAACCAAAGTTTCAGAGATCTGTGACCTCTGCCTCTCATTTTCACTGCAACAGTATTCCTTGAAAGAGATAATACTTTGCACTCTGTGCAACCAATCTTGTCACCGGAAAGATTTTTTAGCTTATCTATTCATCACCCCCAATGTGTAGATTAAACAAGGGAGGATCACAGAAGCTGACTTACTCAAGATCACTCAATTTTTCTATAAGATAACTAGGATAGCTTTCTGGTGAATAGGGGGAGGGATACGTAAAAATTTAAAGGGCCATTGCTGTCTTAAATATTTGGGTGCTCTGTCACAAGAAGAGGGTTATTTTCATCAGGAAGAATCATTACTAACTTCTTTCCCCGTCCCTCTCTCTTCCAGAGTTCACTGTTTCCACTATCTCATCCCTCTCGCGAAGGAGGGGAACTATGCCATTGTCGCGAATGTGGAAAGTATGGACTATGACCCTCTGGTGGTGAAGCTGAACAAAGATATCAGCGCCATTGAAGAAGCCATGAGTGCCAGCCTCCAGCAGCACAAGTTCCAGTACATATTTGAAGGTCAGACCCTGCCCCTGTCCCTGAGAGTTTGGGAGGAAAGAAGGGTGAAGGTTTTCCTGATTTTCTGTATTACTAAAGCTCAAAACTTGTAGAAAAAGGTTTCTGATTTTTTTTTTGTTTTTTGCTTTTGGGATTGAAGCAGCAACACCTAGCCTCTCTGTGTATGGCTAGGTAGGCAACAATATGGCCGCCATCTGCCCCTTCTAGATGAGGAGATTTAATCCACGATGAGGCAGATGGCGGCCCGGCTGCCTCCTTGACACACCACTCATGAGAGCTGGGTAAGTGTGCGGAGTGGACCACAGGTTAACTCCAGAGGAGCTCATAAAGGAAAAAGAAACACACGCAATATGGAGAGAACCCTGAGAGATCCCCTCACTGGCTAAAATTACCACTGGAAGGGGAAGTTTTCTTTCAGAGAATGAATTCTTGTCTGAAGAGAAAACAGAAACCTCTGATGAGCAGCAGTTCTGAGAAGTCTACATCCATAAATGCCTTCAGAGTCAAGGAAGCAAGGAAGGCTGTGAACGACAGCACTATCCAAAGGTGTTTACCTTCAACATTTAAAACAATGAGCGGCCAGCCAAATCATTTGCGTGATGAATTCCTCCAAAGTACCCTTTTTTAAGACTTCCAGTTATACCCCCTTTTTTCTTGTTTTGGTTGGTTTGTACATAGACCCCAGAGCCAAAAGTATCTATGATGTCTCACTGAATTGAGCCAATATTACTTAAACTAACTACAAAGGTACTTAGTGTGAAGGATTGTGGCAGTTTCAAGATGGAAAGAAAGTGTCAATGCCTGACCAGGTCTTGCTTTCTGAAATGATTCTGTTCTAGCAAATGCAGGACCCACCCCGCCCCCCAAAAATCCTATTTTCCCATTAAATTATGTTGTAGTGATGAAGATGTGTTCTGAAAGGGAATATTCCTGAAAGACTTTAGCCAAAATGTATAAGTGATAAAAAAAAAAAAAGGCTCGTCAGCCCCATGGCTCTGTGTGCTGGAGACTGCAGTCATACTCTCTATCTTAACAGTATAAGACCTATCTAAGAATCACTCTCCTGACCACATAGAATTCCCTTCTGGCTTTTGACACTGGCTCTTCCAAGTCCCACATATTACCATTCACATCCCAGAGTTTTCCTCCCATTTGGACCAGATACTTCTTGACAGCTAATCCTTCTGGGAAACAATAGAGGTATAGTCCTCAGACACAGAAGAGATTTTAACTTTAAAAAAAAAAGAATCATAAATTGGAAATTTCCTATTTAAAAAGCTAGCTATCCCCTGTCATATCACTTTCTAAATTCAAGGGCATGTTATTGAATTTCCCAAGCGGAGGAGGCGTCAGCGGTCTTGGTCTTGATGTGGCAAGGAGAAATATTTTATTATTTTTTTTAAGGAGTGTACTTAATCACAGATATTGTTTAAAATTCCTGGTGTATAGTGATAATACAAAGCAGACCAACCTTCATTTGGTTTATTATTATAATTTATCATGCTTAATTATTATATACATTTATTTCTGTAATCTGCTTTTTATTCTCTATAACCAGTGCACTTAGGGCAGACCACCTTAAACCACTGCAGAACAAAATTCTGCCTGAAATTATGGGCTCAAGGGCATCATAGCAAAAGAACCTACAGAGATTTTTCACATAAATTGTCTAGCTTTAAATGTAAAATCCATGTGTGTGTTTCTGTTCCTTTGAGTGAAAAGCTTTTTACTTCACCTTAGAAGAGTAGCTTATTTGTCATCTTGAAGCAACATTGGGTGAGTGTAGCTAAAGCAAGAGATGATGCCTTCTGTCCTTTTCCTACATGTATCCTAATCAAGGGAAAACTTGTTTTGAAGACAGAAGGAGCCTTTGAACCTGAAGTTACACCCTGAGACAAAAATAGCAGACTATTCACAACTAGTCAGACTAACTTGAAATTTCTGGGAAAATATCTTGCCAGAGTCCAACTTTGTAAGAATAAGAGAAGAAGGAGGAAGAGAGGTTTACTTAGTTCCAAGTATTTAGAATTAAAATCTAACTTCTAAAAATGGTAACCCACATGTTCCTCGGGTTGTTCTGAACCGACATTCCTCAACTTCATTACCTAAGATAACCTGAAATGGGGTCTCCTAGTTTGTTGACATCCTAACCAGCAATTTGTCGAGTTTCACAGACCTTAAGACAGTCCTTTGGCAATGAGAACAAATCACTTAACGACACCCTGAAAACTACACAGGAGTCTTGTGGGAACTCAGCAGTCAATGTATGATCTGCGTTTCCTTCCACTGTGTTTCTAGTTACGGTCTCTCCCCTTACTCCTTTAGAAATATACCCCATTGTCATTGTTGAGCTATGTTAGCATTAATGCCAGGAGTCCAATTTCCTATTGATTTATTTTTATTTACATAGGTTCCCGATCAACTTTTGAGCCAAAAGTACAACCCCCACCTGTTTTGTAGGAGGAAAAGGAAGCTAAACAGATGATAGTATTTACATGTGGTGTTCTCTGCTTTAAAATAACTCAACAGGAAAAACAAGCTTTATGCAGTAATTTAAAACAATCTAGCATATACTCTTAAGCCTTGGCATGTGGCTTTAGCTGTATATGGCAGTGCAGAAACTGTGGATGTACCAGGTTTTTTAACAGCATAAAGCCTCCCCACTTGTAACTCCTTGGGCAGTATCTAACTACTCCAAAATCATGGTAAGATCAGGTGGTCCATCCATCACAGCTAAGTTTTCTTTGGTCATTTACAGTTTCTGAGGAGTAGAGAGAGGAATCTTGTGTGTCTGTTTCTTCAAGATGGCATTAATCTGTCTCCTCCCTCCCTATCGCCCTGTGCTGATCCCTCAGGCCTGGGACACCTGATCTCCTGCATCCTTATTAATGGGGCCCAGTACTTCCGGCGCATCAGTGAGTCTGGCATCAAGAAAATGTGCAGGAACATTTTTGTCCTGCAGCAGAATTTAACCAACATCACCATGTCACGGGAGGCAGACCTGGACTTCGCAAGGTAAGAGATTGGATTCAGTTTGTGTTCCAAAACATTCTACCAAATCATTAATAAAAATGGATTCTTAATCATTAAAAAGCTAGTTTAAAACATGAAACAGAAGTGATGGATGTTAATTAAACTTATTGCAGTGATCTTTTCACAATATATCCATATATTGAATTATTACACTGTACATCTGAAACTAATATGTCAATTATACCTCAGTTTTAGAAAAGGAAAAAAATGGAACTAACAGATGTCCTTTGGTAGTAGAGAAGTAAGTCTATAAAATTATTGGGTGTTTAACGACTCTGAAACAAGTAATTTTTCCTATTGTCTAACTTAAGTTCTTTTACTACAGAACTTCAGTAACTTTGTTTTCTAATTGTAAAAGTAATGTGTGCTCATTGCATAAAATATGTAACATAAAATACAAAGAAGAATATAAACATTACTCATAAACTTTTAATCTAAAAATGCGATATTTGATATACTTTCTCCTGGTTTTTATGCATGTGCTTTGTGTACAAGTGAGTCTCATTCATGGGCATGTGTATCATTTCTCTTTACAAAATTGTTAATGGGTTTTTTATTCATTTAATTTGTGTTTTCCTATATCATCAGTAACCTTTGAAAACATGGTTTTTCCCATATCCATTAATGTCCCTTGAAAACATTCTTTTTAATACCTGAACAAATGTTTCATGGGGTAAGTCATAATTTATTTATCTGATTATTAATATTTGCAGATTTGTAGACATTGGGATTTTTTTACATTTTCTCTCATTATAAATAAATATGTATTGAATGTATTTTTACATGAATCTATTTCCTTATCTCTTCTGTCTTTCCCAATTGAAATCCATCCCCCCTTCTTCCTTTCTTTGGGGAGAAAATGGTTACTCATCACTCTCCATGCTATTCTTTCATGTAACTGAAGGTTATTTTTTAAAAATAGCATTTGGACTTTCTCTTTTCAAGGTTTGCTGATCTCAGTTTTTAAGGTTTCCTTGTAATACTCTTTGTCAAATATAAGAGTTAATCTTCTCTCTTTATGGGTCTCAACACTACCCATACCTTTCTTAAGTCAGTGGATCTTTGGGGCTTTAATGAAAACTTTAGAAGTTTTGAAGAGGATGGATGACGATTATGGTGTTGGTGTTTTATTGCTGATTATACCTGGATGAATTTTTCCATGAACCCCTTTATTGCTGGGGAGTATTGTGTTTTTAATAGTCCAGCATGCTCCTGCCTATTATTTAGTATTTCTGTGTCTTTTCACTTGACTTTTTGATTCCTGAAGAAGCTTAATAAAATTTGAAATAATTCTTGAGAAATTTCTGGGGATAATAATATGCTGTATCACTTTGACAGTTATTAAGACATCCATGCTAGGATCTTTGTCTTGAAATCACATAGCCATACATCTTCACTTCCACCTTTCTTCTCCAAGCTGTCACTCGTTTGTTCCATTGCTACCCTGTTGTTCTGCTTCTCTGTCCTCCTTCTCTATCATTTTCTTTCTGTTTGAGTGTGTGTGTTCCTTAAATTCCCTATCTTAGGCTAAATTTGGTGGAAAGTGTTCCTTGCTCAGATTAGGGAAACCAGGTGTGACTGAATGCTGCATTTATTTGGCCTCCCTTATGGGGAATGAGCTCATTATTGAATTAGTCTATTCATAATAACATTGAAAATGGAAGTTAAGAACACAGAGGCCTGAGGGATACAGAGAAGCATTACTAATTCTCTGAGGAATATAATTCCTAAATTCAATCACCCTTTTTTAAATGATTTTTTTTAATTTTGCTGTAGTAAGTAAATTAACACAGCTTTTGACAGATACTATGGGGCCTGCACACATACTAAAAACCCTAGCATCTGAATAATGAAATGATGACTGGGCAGTATTGAGGTTGACATTGATGGGCCGTGTACCAGCAAAGCATTTCTTCAGCGAAGCCATGCCTGTCATGGTTGGATTTGGGAGTGATATCCAAGGAAGTGGTTATAAGCTAAAAGATGACCACTTGGGAGAGGTACTGCTCTTATTACTCTTCATGGATTTTGAGAGGAGATAGGCTATCCTAAGTATATAGCATTAGATGATTCTGTCGTGATCACAGTTCAGAAAGACACATCTTTACTAGACTTGTAAGCTCCAGGAAGCCCAGATTTTCTGTTTCCTTGGTGTGTAAACCAGAGTAAGTGCTCACTTTCTATACTGGATGAATGACTAGGTGTCAAATCAAGGCTTCTCTTTGTGGTAAGGAGCTTGGATAATGGCAAAGTCTAGTTTATCTTTAACATCCTGAACATTTTAACCAGCTGACGTGAGATCATTTTCTTATAGGCTGTTGAGAAACAGAGCATCTCCTTTGCAATTCGTTCTTTCTAGAAAGTGTTACAAGAAGGAATACTACATCCCTAACTATTCATAGGCTCTTTCTCCTTCATTTTCTCTTGCTCTCCTACATACACATATACTAAACACACTTTATAGCCTTGGTTGGTTTTTTTTTTTAATAGTTTTTCTTTTTGTTTTTTCTGTTCTTGATTTTGGTAGGGACAGGTTTTGTGAAATGGGCTCCATCAATTCTACTGAATGTGAAGGGATGTAAAATAAACATAAGAGTGATACCAAAATAGCCAGAAATAATAGACTGCAACAGTGTGTCTCAGCATTCCTTAAGCAGTGTCTAATCAAGCATGAACAACATCTGTATTTCCAGCAAACCTTTCTAGGAATGTTATCTTCTAATGCAGTAATTAATCACTAGTTGCTGTGTGTCAGAAAACTTACTTAACAAGAAGTTGCAAGGCTTCTGTAGCTTTTCACTTTCATAGCCTTCCTGGCCAGTGGAAAATAGAACACTCTTCCACAATAAAGAAATGAGAAGATCTGGACTCATTCCATTTATGATAACTCTTCTACTCATGGTATTGTTAAGTTGTCTCTTTCTTTGTACACACCTTTGGTCCAACTGATCTCTAATAGGAATAAATCTTGGGTGAGCAAAGGCTCAAAATAATCTATAAAATGACCAGAACTGCTAAGAGACCCTGTCACCTATGGTAATGATCTCTGCTATGATTTTGACCCTTTTGACCCAACCATTGATTTTCAAGCTCAAAAAGAGGCCTTGTCCTCGAAAATCACTACACACTAGCTAGAAAGTGGAAGGCCTCTATGAGTGTGCTCTTTAGTTGCCTTCATCAAAGATCATCTTACCCTGAACTTCATGTGCTTTGAAGCAACCCACTAGTCAGGAGTAAAAGGAAAGGTCTGAATGAATACTTCCATCCCCAGGGTGAATCTGGCAGTCTTTATAGTTGAAGTGAAGCCATTGTTGGGGAAAAAAAATCCCAGAATTTTCCTCCTAGTGCTGCCATCTCTTACCACATTTCCCTTTTGTATTGGTCTCTCTCATTACAGTTGCCTCTCTTTTCTCCTTTCTTTCTCCTGTTGCCTCTGTTATCTCTCCTTGGTTCTGTGGTCTTTTTGGTTTTCTTTAGACTGCTATCTCTCTCATTCCTTAATCTGGCACAGGTAAGGAAATGAAAGCTAGAGTTCAGGAAGTGGTGAGGCCCTAACCCATAAGGAAGTGTCCTCATCCGTTCACTCATTCATTCAACAAATATTTATTGAGTGTGCATCCTCTCTAGGTCTACCCTTGTAGAATTTACATTGTTATGGGCAAGAGAAAGAAACTAATAAACAAGTAAAATACAAAGTATGTCAAATGATGATATGTGCTATGGTGCAAAATTAGATATTAAGAAGAATAGAGTGTATTCAGATATAATGAAGGTAATTTGTAATTTTGAGTGTTCAGGGAAGTTCTTAATGAGATGGTAACATTTGAGGAAAGACCTAAAGGAAGAGTAGGTCATGTAAATATCTAGAGGAGCTTCTGAGGAAGGGAGCACTAGGAGCAGAGAACTAGAAAGAGGCATGTATTTAGCATTTAAAGAACAGAAGAAAGGCCAGTAAGGCTGAAGTAAATAAACAAGGAAAGAATAAGAGATGAGTCAGAGATTTAATCAAAGAAGCTGAGATCTTGAAGACCAGTGTAATAACATTGGCCTTTACTTTGAGGTTGAAAGCTATTAGAAGAATTGGAACAGAAGAATGCCATTATCTGACTTATGTTATAAAAGAGTCACTCTGGCTGCTATGTGGAAAATAGATGATTTTCTATTTTTCCAAGGAGGGGAAATTACAGACAAGGGCAGAAACAGAAGGATCTGTTAGAAAACTATTGCAATAATCTGGGTGAAAAATAGTGGTGATTCAAACCACAATTGTAGCAATGGAGAGGATGAGAAATGGACAGATTAGGATATATTTTTAAAGTAGAGATAACAGGATTTGTTAAGGGATTGGAAGTGAACAACTGGCCCCAAGATTTTTGTTCTGAGCAATTCAAAGGATGGTATTTTCATTTATTGACATGAAAATGAGCCAGACGACGGGAAAGGCGGATTGAGTTGAGGGGGCAGGCAAATACAAAGAGGCTATCAAGAGTTTGGATTTAGAAGTATGAAGTTTGAGATGCTGATTAGATGTCTAAATAGAGGTAAAGAAGAGAGACCTGGATATACAAATCTAGAGTTCAGGAAAGAGGTGGTGGTTGTCTCTCAGTCATGTCTGACTCTTTATGACCCCATGGACTGCAGCACGCCAGGCTTCCACATCCTTCACTACCTCCTGGAGTTTACTCAAACTCACGTCCATTGAGTCTATGATGCCATCCAACCATCTCATCCTCTGTCTCCCCCTTCTCCTCCTGCTGTCAGTCTTTCCCAGCATCATGGTCTTTTCTAGTGAATCAGCTCTTCTCATCAGGTGGCCCAAGTATTGGAGCTTCAGCTTCAGCATCAGTCCTTCCACTGAATATTCAGGACTGATCTCCTTTAGGATTAATTAGTTTGCTCTCCTTGCTGTCCAAGGGCCTCTCAAGAGTCTTCTGTAGCACCACAGTTTGAAAGCATCAATTATTCGGTGCTCAGGCTTCTTT